CAGTCCGTCTGTGAATAAAATAAAACAATATTTAATATTCAGAATGCGCTCTAATTAATGATAAATGAAACAGTGGGCATGAAAAATACATTAGAATGCCGTTTTAAAAAATCACTTTACCCTATTTACAAGCACTATAAACTCATCTCTGCTGGCAGTTAAATTCTTTATTTCACCGTTCCAACGTTGCAGTGAGAGCGACATTTTTCATATGCATTAATACTATCCAGTGAAATGAAAATATACCTACACTAAAAGCTTTCCGTTCCATTAATTTTATTCCACCGCTTTCTCGAAATTCGTCATCAGCACATTTTTATGTATGGTCACGAGTACATACAGCCGACTATTGTCACTTGTCGTGTTACCCTATTTTTCCGATCGATTTCATAACGAGAACGAAGTCCTCGATTCGGTTGTATGTTGTTGTTGTTTACCAGAGGGAGACTTTGCACAAATGTCGATTGCTTGGATACCTCTGTCCCATTCGTGTTTCAACCGTGAAGCAGTTGTGTTTGCATGGCCGTGTTTCGGTTTGAAGGGTGGGATATGGCGTGAATTTACTGGGTACAGAGGAATAACACCTGAGTCCTCAGGAGTGGCAACGCATGGAGAGTTACCATTTCATCATCACCCATGAACCCTTTTCCATTAGAGGGAAAGAATTTGTTAGAAATAAAGACTGAGAATCCTATTGCTAGCAATATACCCAACCAGGTCGACCTCCTCGCGGTTCTCCCTGGAAACTATCATGGTTAATTCCTGATGAATTCATCATGATAGGCTGACTGGCCTGTTTGCATTCTCATCTATCACCCTTCACTGGTGCTCCGCCAGCTTATCCCGTTAGGGCAGGCGGGGTTACCATACCATTTTCACCCATTATAGTACATTTATACCAAATATTTATTAAATAAATATATATTCAAAGTACTCGTAGATGGTTAAGCAGTTACACGCTAACAGGTAAACAAACAAACAAACAAGTAAACTCACTTTCACGTTTATAATATTAATAAGGATTACATTACAAGTACAAGACAAAAGAATGTAACTATAGAATATTCTAGTGCATGTATTACATTCATAATAAATCAAATATTTAACTCCTCTGGGTTCTCGCTGGAAAGCTGTAAAACAATGTTTCGCTTATAAAAACTTTTGCATACACATAAAAAAACTTGGAGAATTTCAAGCAACACTCAAGAGTACAAGAGTTCTTGTGGAGGTTTAGAAGGATACATCAATCATTTGGGTACTCTAATATAATACTACTGGATATATATATATATATATATATATATATATATATATATATATATATATATATATATATAGTCATAATGGAATGGCAACCCTGCCTTTTTTTTTTTTAACGTCTGGAAAATGCTTTATGCAGACCCATACACCTTGTGGGAGGTGAATGGGTACTGTGAGAGTCCCCCCGTAAGGTGGGGGTGTACCCACCAAAAACCAGACGATATAACCTCGAGGTGCCATATGTCGGAGACATGGGTTCGCTTTCGCACTCACCACATCTCCGACGGCAGCGACCCGCCCCTTGATGGTAAGAGCAGGTCTCCTCTCTCAAGATAGGGATGGCAACCCTGCCTGCCTATTGGTATGCACTGGCGAGGTACTAGTGACAGATAATAGATGAGGATGAAAGCAGCATATTGAATAAGTTGGTCCATAGTTCTCAATTCATAAAGAATTAATCAGACCTGAGGGAGACTTTGTACAAAAGTCGATTGCGTGGGTACCTTTGTCCCATTCGTGTTTCAACCGTGAAGCAGTTGTTTGCATGGCTATGTTTCGGTTTGAAGGGTGGAATATGGCGTGAATTTACAGGGTACAGAGGAATAACACCTGAGTCCTCAGGAATGGCAACGCATGGGAGGTATCATGGGCGAAACAGTATACTCTGTTATGTCCATGGTACTGCTCATGTCTATAGGCGACGGTTACCACTTTCCATCAGGTGCGCCGTCAGCTTGTTTGCCATTCTAAATGGTATAAAAAAAATGTATCTTTTTTTTTTATGTTTGTTACCTCATAATTCTAAAGTATATTCTAAAAAAAGTAAACCGATTTGGGGAATTCTATTTTTTTTTTATTTGAAAAGATAAATATTGGTTGAGCAGTTTAGTTTTTGAATCCAAATAACTGGTTTTAACACGGCTTAAATCGTTGCTTTGTGGAACACGGTATTGGTCCTAGAATCATATGATCTCATGTTCTACTCGGTTGTTATTTATTCTCCATTAGGGGGAAAAGGATTGTTAGTAATGGAGATTGAGAATCCTATTGCTAGCAATATACCCAACCACGTCGACCTTCTCGTGGTTCCCCTGGAAACTATCATGGTTAATCCCTGATGAATTCATCATGATGGGCTAACTGGCCTGTTTTCATTCTCATCTATCATCCCTCACTGGTGCTCCGCCAGCGTATCCCGTTAGCGCAGGCGGGGTTACCATATCATTTTCACCCATCAAAAAAAAACCCAGTACATTGAACAAAGAAAAAACCTATTTCCTTTTTACATCTCCAAACTCAAAACGAATTAACGCCTTACCATTTCGTATTAGCAAATATTACAGACCGTCATTTGCTGAGTCAATTTAATCATTCAATAAATGGTTCGAGTCATCAGATTAGGCGTTAATTGTCCACTAGTGAACATATGCCTCCTCCCCCCACCCCACAATTGGAGGTTTTACCAGTAGCTGCTATGCTTGGCAGGCCAGTTGGCAACTGTAGTTATGTCACTTATGATCTTTCAAAAGGGACACTGTTGTCATTCCTCGACCATTAAGTTCCCTTAGTCGCCTCTTACGACACCCACGGGAAAGTAATGGACAGCCCATTCTATGTCGGAACCACACTATAGAACGAATGTACCCTATAAAAATTCAAATTAATTGTATCCTTACTAATATAATAAATAAATAATAATATTTATTCAAGAAAGATACAGTTGCATAAGGTACAAGTTACAATTTTTACAATTTATATTCAACGAGGAAATATCTGCATTACCATCAGTCCCCAAACTAGGCCTGACCTGTGTCTTGGGGACTATGAGTGCGATTACCTATTTAAGTAATGGAGACTGAGAATCCCATTGCTAGCAATATACCCAATCAGATCGAATTCCTAGCGGTTCCCCCTGGAAACTATCATGGTTAATTCCTGATGAATTCATCATGATATAATAACTCCCCTGTGTGGTCCCGGCATAGAATAGACTACCCCTTTCTTTCCTGTGGGTGTCATAAGAGGCGACTAAGGGAGAGCGAGGGATGGGCAGCAGCGTCCATCTTAAAACACCTCCGAAGCCTAACTACCAAGTTACCAAGCGTGGCAACTGCTGGCAAAACCACTCTAGAGGAAGCTTATGTTCAGCAGTGACTGTTCACTGCTTAAAAGCATTTGATTTATGATGATGATGAAAACTAATAAAGTGATAAAAAAATACTTTTAAAATAGCAACCGGTAGATCCACAGCAAATGTAATGAACATAATTCATTAGTGTATTATTATTTAAAATATAATACTGAATGTCTAAGTTCAACGTGCCTTCAGTCTAGCTAGATTTTATTTAGCCTAGACTCTAGAGCTGTTGAATATTTAATTACCAAGCTTGGTATCCAGCCAGGTTGTTCCATATTCGGTCAATAACTATCTCGGTCTCATCCTATCACATATAACATTTATTTTTGATCTCCAATTGTATTTTGTTGTATGTATTTCGCGCTAACGCCACAGGTCAATGAAATTAAAGGATATGGAATTGTAACATCTTAGTTTTTTTTTTTTATAATGGATGATAATTTTTTTTAAAAGGATAATAATGGAATGGTATCGGTATACACCGGCGGGGCACCAGTGAAGGATGATAGATGAGGATGAAGTAGGTCAGTTAGCCCATCGTGACGAATTCAATGAGAATTGTTCACGATGGTTTCCAGGGGGAACCACGTGGAGGTCGACCTAATAAGGCATATTGCTAGCAATGGGGCTGTCAAACCCCATTGGGGATGATATTGGAATGGTATCCCCGCCTGCGCTATCGATATAAGCTGGCGGAGCACCAGTGAGAGACGATAGGTGAGAATGATAAGGCAGGTCAGTTAGTCTGTCGTGATGAATTCATTTGGAACAGAACACGACAGTTTCCAGGGGGAATCGTGAGGAAGTCGACCTGACATCCTGGCACTGCTAATTCCCATTTTTATCAATTCCATTATTATATCCATTATGATACAGTTTTTTTTAGAGACACCAACATGACAAAGATTTCTTTGGCATTTTTAAATAGATATGAGTAAAAATCCATGGCACTAAAACTGTTATATGTACATTGAAAGGCACAGTCGAGAGAGAGATTTAACCCTTCTTTGCATAATGTTGAAAATTTCTATCATAACATTTTATTTATGGGTTATAATGGAATGGCAACCCCACCCGCGCTGTCGGTACACACCGGCGGGGCACCAGTGAAAGATGATAGATGAGGATGAAGCAGGTCAGTTAGCCCATCTTGACGAATTTAACAAAAATTGTTCACGATGATTTCCAGGGGGAACCATATTGAGGTCGACCTAATAGGGCATATTACTAGCAATGGGGCTGTTCTAACTCCATTGCTAACAATCCCTTTCTCCTCCTATCATAACGTTGAATGCCCAAAAATTACATAAAAGAACAATTTCAAGTTGATCGTGTTTGGATACCTTTTTAATGTCCATTGCAGAAAAAAAACATAGCTGTCAAATTTATTTTTTAACCATTTCTCCTTTACTTTTGAACATGAATTGTGTCACCTTGATTTATTTCACCAATAAAAAAAAAAACCTTGCGAAGAAGGGTTAAATCGGTCCTACCGCCATCTATCTGACGTTTGATAGAGTTCCATTCGTTCCGATCGCTTAGAGCACTGCCGACGGTGTGGCGTTACGCAATGGTGTGAATGAAGCGAGCCGCCGCGGCCGCCGCACCGCCGCACGCCTGCGCCGGCGCAAGTGGGGTTGGTATAACAACGTTCACACTTCCGGATACATGATAGTGAAAGCTTGAGCTGGCTGTGAGCCGGTGTTCTGAGGATTACATCCTGGTCTTCGGGTCACGTGACGACTTGCGAAATAACGTGAGTGCTATTTTTTTTTTTATTAATTTTATTTCATTTGCGAACGCGAACTGTTTATTTTACTGATTTAAAAAAAATGTGTTCTCATTTCGAATGTTTTTTTTTATTCTTTAAAACGAAAGAGATTCACAATCAGTTTGTTGGGATTTTTTGTTGTGATTGTTATGCTTACGCGATTGCGTTGCCAATTCTAAATTGCTTTTCACAATTCTTTTACAATCGTGTAACTGTGTCTCGCGGCTTCTCATGTGGTCGTATCGCGATGTTGGACTATCTGGAATTTTCCACAAAAATGAGCAAAAATTGTATGATTTTTCAAACCCTACCAATTTGGTGTAGTAATTTTTTCGTGATACCAGAACAAAAAATATACGGACAGACAGACATACAACATTTTTATTAAATATCGCTTTAGCATTTACTGGTCTTATTTAGGTTCCTAATTTTTTTAAATATCTCCCATTTACATATATTATCTAGTTACGATATAGGGTTCATTCCCGTGCTGGTCCCATGTAATGTTTTTTGAACTGAAGCTGTTGGTTTTCTTTGCGGAGCAAAAAACTGCTTGTTGAGTAGCAAAAGATCATTGTAAATATAGATATATGATTTCACGTTTTAAATTAATATACCATAAACTGTATAGATAGAGTGTGCTTATCGAAGCATTTGTATGAAAAATACAGGACAACGTTTTTATATACCGTGAAGCAGTTGTGTTTGCATGGCTGTGTTTCGGTTTGAAGGGTTACTGGGTACAGAGGAATAACATCTGAGTCCTCAGGAATGGCAACGCATCATGGGCGAAACAGTATACTCTGTAATATCCATGGTACTGCTCATGTCTATAGGCGACGGTTACCACTTTCCATTAGGTGGGCCGTCAGCTTGTTTGCCATTCTAAGTTGTATAAAAAAAAAGCGTAAATAGGGTTGCCATAAATACATTTATTACTCAGTATGTGGAAAAATTAAATTGTATAGTTAAAATGAAATATATAAATGAAAAAAGATTAACTATGTATAATGATTCGTAATGATGCTTATTTTTATTGACTATTTTGATTTATGCCTATGTATAGACATAAAATATGTTTTTGTTTATAAATCATTGAAAATGGGCAGCCATTTTAATTATTATATATACATTTATTTGTAAGCAATACGTAGTTACGTATATCTATATTATAATAGTAAAAATCAAATTAAAAACGATTCCAAATTGAAATTTATAACGATCAGATCTGGGAAATATTTAATCGAATTACTGGCAATAATGAGAAAGAGCGCGTTTAGTTTTGGAATAAAAAAAATATGCAAGCAACCATACGTCAAATTATCTAAATTTTGACACGTTTTTCATGCTTGATGCTCCATCTATACAATCTAAGTCAATATCTATTTTCAATGTGATTCACATACTTCACGTATACTTCACATTATGTGAAGTATCTACAAAACAGACGCCATCTATACTAATTTTAAATGTGTACATTATTTGTTTGTTTGTAATGGATAAACTCGGAAACTACTCAACCGATTTTAAAAATTCTTTCACCCATAGAAACCTACATTATCAGCGGATAATCCAAGCTATATACAGTTTTCAAAAATTCTATCTACCCGTGCGAAGCCGGATCGGATCACTAGTTCATACAATGTACATGTGTGTTTGTGTATGTGTATACAATATATTCACGATAGATGTCGCTTTTTCAACCGATATCAAAAAGAAGGAAGTTTTTTATTTCAAAACACAGGGAGCAAACGAGCATGCGGCTCACTTGATGGTAAGTGACTACCTCCGCCCATGATCACCCACAACACTAAAGGCATTGCAGGTGTGCTGCCGGCCTTTTAAAAAGGAATATGCTCTTTTCTTGAAGGTTATGATGTCGTATCGGTTCGGAAATACTGCTGCTGGTAGTTAATTCCAAAGAGTGGTTGTGCGTGGAAGAAAGTGCCTTGAAAAATGCACGGTGGAGGACCGCCACTCGTCCAGATGGTTGGGATGAAATTTTAGTTTATGGCGGGTAGTAAGTTCACATTTCGTTTGTATTTTTTTCTGTATTTGTTACGTCATAACTCCGTTAGTTTTAAACTGATTAGGAATTTTTTGTTTTTAATTGAAAGTATATACTTATAGATTGGTTCATAGAAATTATATTAAAATCGATTCAATAATTTAGTTATGGAATCGTAATAACCGGCTTTTAAAGAATGAAAAAATGAAAAAAAAAATTCGTATCAAAATTGATACAAGATAGTTTTTGTGACCTTCTAGTAAGTGTCACCTGTATCAGAAGGTCACGCTCCTCCACAACCATGAAAATACAAATCATAGTGCCATAAAATTAAGACATAAACATAATCTAGTTTTAGTAATAAGTTTATCTAAATGCATGCATGCGTGTGTGTGCATGCATATGTGTGTGTGTGTGTGTGCGTGTGCGTGTGCGTGTGCGTGTGCGTGTGCGTGTGCGTGTGCGTGTGCGAGTGCGTGTGCGTGTACGTGTGCGTGTGCGTGTGCGTGTGCGAATGCGTGTGCGTGTGCGTGTGCGTGTGCGTGTGCGTGTGCGTGTGCGTGTGCGTGTGCGTGTGCGTGTGCGAGAGCGTGTGCGTGTGCGTGTGCGTGTGCGTGTGCGTGTGCGTGTGCGTGTGCGTGTGCGTGTGCGTGTGCGTGTGTGCGTGTGCGTCTGCGTGTGCGTGTGCGTGTGCGTGTGCGTGTGTGCGTGTGCGTGTGTGTGTGTGTGTGTGTGTATGCGTGCGTGTCAGTGTACGTGTGCATGCACGTACGCGAACATGTACCAATTGTGTAGTGTGTATGTATGTTGTATGAGTGTTTTGACAGAATTAAAGTCGGTTTTTGTTTTTGTGGAAAGCAATCTTAACGTTGTGGAGTAAGCATCACCTGTTTACATATAATGTCGTAATTGTGTTACCGTGCCTCGTTGACCTTCCCATGGTTGCGGGGCCAATCACCTCACATCTGAAATCTGTTTTTCTATTTTCCCAATTTAATAAACAACTAAGTTGGTATTTCATAACGAAGTATCGCTACGTTCCAATCATCTGTCAATTTCCAAAAATAAATATTTTTGATTGTTCTTTATTGAATTACGTAAATTTTGGAATTGGCGTGAATTTACTGGGTACAGAGGAATAACACCTGAGTCCTCAAGAATGGCAAGGCATGGGGGGTATCATGGGCGAAACAGTATACTCTGTTATGTCCATGGTACTGCTCATGTGTATAGGCGACGGTTACCACTTTCCATCAGGTGGGCCGTAAGCTTGTTTGCCATTCTAAGTTGTATAAAAAATATAGATTTCATAAGCAAAAAATCTAAAAATGAATTAAATCTCTTCAAAATGTTAATATAAAAGTTTAGCTAGATTTTAAGTTAATCCGTAACGCAAAACCGTATCCAATTTGGGACTGCAGTTTTAGTTTGATATCAGAACAAACATTTAGACAAATAGACAGACAAAACTTCTAATATAAAAATTTGTATTGGCATCCATAAGTCATATTCAGACTTCTCGTTGATTCGTTGGATTAGTTTTGATGATTGTTGATTGACTGACGAGAAAGCTGACCAAGGAGTGATGAGTATTTGGAAGCGGTCCATCGCTGCAGATAGAGAGGCTTAATATTAGCTTTTTTTTTTAATGGATAAAAATGGAATGACAGCATCGCCTACGCTATCGGTATACACTGGCGGGACACCAGTGAGAGATGATAGGTGAGAATGAAAAGGCAGGTCAGTTTTTTTTTTTTGATGGGTGAAAATGGTATGGTAACACCGCCTGCGCTAACGGGATACGCTGGCGGAGCACCAGTGAAGGGTGATAGATGAGAATGAAAACAGGCCAGTTAGCCCATCGTGATGAATTCATTAGGAATTAACCATGATAGTTTCCAGGGGGAACCGCGTGGAGGTCGACCCGGTTGGGTATATTGCTAGCAATAGGATTCTCAGACTCCATTACTAACAACCTTTCCCCCCAAGGCAGGTCAGTTAGCCCGTCGTGACAAATTCAACAAGAATTAACTACGATAATTTCCAGGGGGAACCGCGTGAAGGATAAAGTACATTGCTAGCAATGGGACTGTCAGACCCCATTACTGACAAGTTTCTTCTCTCCTGACTGTTATAGCTTGTTAGAGATGGTCACCAAAATAATTTAAGATGACCAAAATAATTTAAGATAGGTATTTCACAAAAAAAAAAAAAACTATTACAATTGCAGCAAAACCAGTTATTACGATTTCTAAACTTACCTGCTAAACATAAATTCAAAAAATTTTGATAAGACCAATCTGTTAGTATGTCCTTTCAAATAAAAAAAAAAATACCAAATAGATTTAAAACTGACGGAGTTATGAGGTTACAAACATAAAAAAAAAATATAACACAATCTCAATCTCAAATCTGGGCACCTAACCGGTTCTTTTCGCATAGCGCCGCGTTGTAAATAAAATGACATAATATATATGGCGTGTCATAAAGAGCTTTGAAAGTGAAAGTGGACGCCGTGGTCCAATGCTCGCAAAAACAAATCTCGCTTACAAATTGACCATGATTTGTATTAAAAACTGTTTCATATTGCAAAACTGCTTTGCTTGTGTTTTTATTTATATATATATATATATATATATATATATATATATATATATATATATATATGGGCGGGAGAGATTACCATTCATTTTCATCCATTAAAAAAACAAGATATAAATGCAAATGGGACAGAGGTACCAGAGTAGACGACTTTCATACAAACTCTTCCTCTCGTAGTCTCAATGTTTTTAAAACTATGCAAATATTGTTACAATAACAATAGAAACGTGTAACAATAGAAAGTTCCTATCAATATATTTTGTAAATATTAAACGAGCATCCATTTTACTTCACACCTGTTAAATACCAGGTAAACGTAAATACCTATTTAGTATATATTAATACTAGAAACATGCCGACATTTTGTTTTTTTTTACACAACTTAGAATGGCAAACAAGCTGACGGCTCACCTGATGGAAAGTGGTAACCGTCGCCTATAGACATGAGCAGTACCATGGACATAACAGAGTATACTGCTGCGCCCATGGTACCCCCCATGCGTTGCCATTCCCGAGGACTCAGGTGTTATACCTCTGTACCCTGTAAATTCACGCCATATCCCACCCTTCAAACCGAAACACAGTCATGCAAACACAGCTGCTTCAATAATTATAATATTTCTTATACGAATACTTATGTTAGTTTATTCTATTAATAGACAGTCGTATTTGTTCCCCTTTTTGTTTTACGAAAGCTTCTCCCTCTTCCAACTTTTTCTAGCTTCGGTTATACTTCACTAGGGTATAAATATCATATTCATAATTATATATGTCGTTAACTGTCCTCTGCTGGGAGGAAAGGGATTGTTAGTAATGGAGACTGAGAATCCCATTGATAGCAATATACCAAACCAGGTTGACCTCCTCGCGGTTCCCCCTGGAAACTATCATGTTTAATTCCTGATGAATTCATCATGATGGGCTAACTGGCCTGTTTTCATTCTCATCTATCACCCTTCACTGGTGCTCCGCCAGCGTATCCCGTTAGTGCAGGCGGGGTTACCATACCATTTTCACTCATCAAAAAAAAAAAAACCCATACGGATCTTTTGTGCTTCCCCCTGCCTTATACTATCATTTCATAGATCCTATGTGTTACCCTAACGATATCCCGCGGTTTAAGATATCTGTAGTCCCCTGGTTCTGGATAAGCCGTTCCCAGTAGACTCATACGCATGCTCGCTAACGAATCACAGTTGCACATCAAGTGTTCCATGGATTCCGATTTCTCCCCGCACAGTCTGCACAGTGTGTCCGAAGATAGACCCATCTTGTGTAGTATATGCCAATAAGGCATAAATAAGGCATGGGGGTACATATACTACACCTTTGGGGGTTTTACCAGTAGTTGCCACGATTGGCAAGCGGATAGGAAATCGCAGTCAGGCTTTGGTGATGTTTTAAGAGGGACGCTTCTGTCAAATACCTCGACCATAGATTCTGACAGACAAGACGAAATTTCTAAATATTATTATATTGTTTTATTTTATATTAATTTTTCTCAAATAACTCCCATGTATGGATATTGTCTAGTTAATTTCTTTTTAGATTTAATTAGTAAGGCACTGATTTACGCGGCCAAAGCCGAGGATTACAACTAGTATTGTGTAATGTGGGAAATAATTAAAAATTAAATTAATATGTAAATTACCTATGTAAAATAACCTATCTGTAGATTAATTCAGTTTTTTTTTATGGGTGAAAATGGTATGGTAACCCCGCCTGCGCTAACGGGATACGCTGGCGGAGCACCAGTGAAGGGTGATAGATGAGAATGAAAACAGGCCAGTTAGGCCATCATGACGAATTCATCAGGAATTAACCATGATAGTTTCCAGGGAGAACCGCGAGGAGGTCGATCTGGTTGGGTATATTGCTAGCAATGGGATTCTCAGTCTCCATTACTAACAATCCCTTTCCTCCCAGTTGTTAATATTTGCATGCCATTTGATGTGGCGAAACATAACGGACATCTTGTAAACTTGACAAATGCAACATCTTATCTACAATGTTTCTGGCAAATAAATTTAATTTCATTTGCTTCTACATCTACACTTATATTATAAAGATGAAAGATTTGTATTTTTGTGTGTATGTATGTTTGTAATGAATAAACTCAAAAACTACATTGCCGATTTCAAAAATTCTTTCACCATTAGAAAGCTACATTCACCCTGAGTAGCATAGGCATATATTTATTGCTAGAAAAGATTAGTGATCCTTACTAAAACTTTAGTAATGTAACTTGAGGTGTAAAAAATGCTATAAAATATCTTTCGTCGCGTGCGCTGCGGAAACTATTGGTGATAGAACAAAGTATGTTCTACAATATTGAAGAAAATATCGATAACTACAAAAAACTTCCCGGTACTATATGTCCAACTGTTATGGTTATGTCATGATAACCACTTTTTTTATGTTGTAAAAATGTCCACCCGTGCGAAGCCGGGACGGGCCGCTAGTATTACATATTAATGTGTCGATTCTCATTTAAGAACCAGTTACGTTGAACACTAGTAAATTTCTCGGCTACTGTACGTATCGGCATACATATATTAATCGTGTTTTTAAATATTTCGCGTGATCCACACGCGTCGCGTAACCAAACGTAATGTTGCGCGCCATTTACCAATCGGCCGCGTTACATCTATGCAATGTGTGTCTCGGACACTGCTTTATAGGAAAATTACTTTAAACTTCATTGATTTCATCTCGTTAAAAAATGTATATAGTGAACTTTTTTTTTATTTAATTTCAATTATACACACACATATATATATATATATATATATATATATATATATATATATATATATATATATATATATATATATATATATATATATATATATATATATATATATATATATAGTTTTACTAACTATAGATAAAACTGTTGTAATTTTTCTGTTATTTATTATTTTACCATTATATTTAGCCGACATAAAAAATGGATGAGTTTCTTAATTCGGAGGTGTCTTTTTATGTACCTCATAATTTCGTCATCGCTATAATTACGGTAAATCTTAAATTATATATTTTTTTGCAATTAAATTGTCACTAGAGCGAATGCCGAAATCTTGTACTACTAAAAAGCCGAGTATGTTTGTTTTGTTATACCTCTATTTAATTTACAAGTATGTACACAGTAGACATCCGCAATATCAGAAAAAAAATGCAAGTGTTCTCGGTTTTTAAGAAGGAATATGCTTTTTTCTTCTAAACGTTTCAACGTGTTCTGTTAGATTGTTTTTGTTTCGATATGATTTTTTTTCATTGATATTTTTATTTATAGCCTCCTTTATACACTCTTCCGTATTTTTCAGGCTGTTTCGCTGATTAATTTATGTTGTTTTAATAAATTCTGGGTTAAACTTTTATTAAGATTTCTGTTTCACTATTGGTTTTTACTATTATTGCCCTCTAGTGATACCTACCTCAACTAGCAAAGACGGAGTATAGCTTCACTCTCTCTAAAAGTTCAATAACTTATTCACAGATGGCGCTAATTAGACTCAGGTTTAAAAGTGTAAAGATTTATAGGTTTTATAATTTCTAGTTACATTTAGCAATTTCAAAGATAATGGTTTTTTTAATCGATTCTTGCACGTGCTATAAAACTAAAAGTAACCTTCTGATTGTCCTGTTATTCGGTTCTATGTAAATCAGTTTTTCTTATGTACTTACCCCGTTTTATACTGTTTTTCCAATTTTGCTGAAAATCCTGGCATTTAGGACTCAACAACAATTCTCTTGATGTTTTAAGTTTTCTTCACAATATTGTATAATTTTGAGTTAATAAAAATGTTATTTATATTTTTTATATAAATGACCCGGTGATCTTCGTATTAATTACAGCGCCATCTATTAAAAGAAATCCAAAGTAGATTTTTTTTTAATGGGTGATAATGGAATGGTAACCCCACCCGCGCTATCGGAATACACCGGCGGGGCATCAGTGAAGGATGATAGGTGAGGATGAAGCAGGTCAGTTAGCCCATCGTGACGAATTCAACACGAATTGTTCACGATGGTTTCCAGGGGGAACCACGTGGAGGTCTACCTATTAGGGCATATTCCTGGTAATGGGGCTGTCAAACTCCATTGCCAACAATCCCTTTTCCCCCAAATCCAAAGTAGTGCCCCATACAAAATATTCTGACTTTTTGCTTAAAATACCACTACATTATAGAATATGGGAGAAAATAGAAGTATGTAAATTGATTAAGCTCTTTTGAAGTATTAGCGAGACTAACGAACAGCAATTAAGTTGATGTTACCTATGGCACAGTAGCGCCCTCTCGCCCTGAACAAATTATAAAAACTATTATAATTCATTTCCTAAAATTAATAAATGCTTAAGAGTGAACAAATAATGATCCACGAATTTATTTCTTTTCATTTCAGATGTGGCTGGCACTGCTAGCCGTTGTGCTAGTAGTCTGCTTACTACTATATTTGAACACACTCAAACCCAGAAACTTTCCACCTGGACCTAAATGGCTACCAATTTTCGGCAGCGCCATAGAAGTCTCCAAGCTTCGAGAGAAAACCGGCTATCTATACAAAGCGGTGAAGGAGCTCTCTACTCTCTATTGTAAAGATAGTCCACTTATTGCTCTTAGAATCGGCAAAGACAGAATTGTCATGGTCAACAGTTTAGAAGCAAATAAAGAGATGCTTGCTAACGAAGACATTGACGGAAGACCCAAAGGAATCTTCTATCAGACCAGAACATGGGGGGAGAGACGTGGAGTTCTTTTAACTGATGGAGAGTTATGGAAGGAGCAGAGAAGGTTTCTGCTCAAACATTTAAAGGAGTTTGGTTTTGGAAAACGCGGCATGGGTGATATAGCTTGTGTTGAAGCTGGTCACATGATTAAAGATGTCCTGAATATTATAGGGAGTGAAAAAGGAGCAACAATTCAAATGCATAATTTCTTTAATACATACATTTTGAACACGCTGTGGACTATGATGGCCGGGATCCGATATAATCCAAATGAACCTGAGATGATAATACTGCAAGGGCTTCTGTTCGAATTATTTGCTGCTGTTGACATGGTAGGTGCTACTTTCAGTCACTTTCCGATTCTGAGTGTAATTGCCCCAACTATGTCTGGCTATAAAGATTTTATTAAAACCCACAAAAAGATTTGGGCGTTTTTAAGAGAAGAGATACAAAGACACAAAGAGAGGTTCAATCCAGACAAAGAGGACAAAGATTTTATGGACGTCTACATTAGGGTTTTGAGAGAAAATGGTGAGGTGAATACGTACTCCGAGGGTCAGTTGGTGGCGATGTGTATGGATATGTTCATGGCGGGAACAGAGACGACCAGTAAGAGTATGAGTTTCGGGTTTAGCTATTTGGTGAGGGAACAAGAAGTGCAGAGGAAAGCGCAAGAAGAAATCGACAGAGTAGTAGGGAGAGACAGGCCACCAAACCTCGATGACAGAGACAAGTAAGTTAATATTAATTTATTTCAAGTTTTACCTTTATCACCCATATCTATTGACTATTGAATATATACCATCCACAATGACTTCTACTATTAACAAACTCTTTTTTTCTACGTCCATCCGTTTCTATCTTTTTAATAACATTGTTCCGTCTAGAACAGGGTTTCTTAAACTTCTCACAGTCACGGACCAGTTTAACAATTTAAACAATTCCACTTCAAATTTAGGAAAAGAAAATTTAGTTATTATTTAGTCTTAAAATTTAGGAAAAGAAAATAAGTAATTTTAGATAGAAGAAAAAAAACTTTGGTAGTTTCATTATACTTGCTACTAATTTATAATGATAAATTTAAGTATGCTTTTGTTTGACGCTTGACATCGACGATGCGTCTCGTCGAGTTCACCACACAATTCCCTAATAAATATTTTATACAGTTAAATAACCTACTGCGGACTCCCAATAATATGCTACGGACCCCTAAGATCCCACTTTAAGAAACCCTGATCTAGAAGGAGGGCGCTTTACGACTTCAATTAATGCCAATTTTAAAACTTTACCTTCATTTTATATGATGCTTAGAATAACAAACTGTCTGTCTACCTGATGGTAAGTAGTAAGTCGCGTATAAACGTACTTTAGTAAGTACTTTACATTATTCACAATTTCGTGTATAATATAGTATATGTCATATTTGTAAGTATATTTGTTATTTATATATATTTATTCGTTTATATATGTAATTTTAGTATGTATGTATATCAATAATTAGTAGTACCGCATTCGAGTATTCTGACACTTGCCTATGGTTGACTGGGAGAGAATGCTTTCAGCGTTAAGTCCGTCATGTACACATTTATGTACTAATGAATAAATAAATAAAAAAATAAATAAACGTAAGCAGTAGGTACCATTGGCATCGCAAAATTGCACAGCACTATGATTGATTTCCAAGGTACCCCTTACGCATTGCTTTAGGGCTATGGTTTTATGCCTCCGTATCCTATATAACTGCCATACAAACTCTTCGAGATGAAACAGAGGCATGCAAGCAAGGTGGCGGGAAATAATTATTCTTTTTAATTTCGATTTTGGAAAAAAGTAGCCACTTTAGCCAAGATAACGTGGTATAAAGTATACAGATTTTGATAACGATTAATTTATTTTGCTTACAGCATGCCATACTGTACTGCCATCGTCCATGAGAGCGTCAGACACTTCATGGGGAGGACCTTTGGCGTGCCACATCGTGCGTTAAAGGATACTAAGCTTGCTGGATACGATATACCCGAAGTAAGTTATATTCTGCTCGAATTATTGATAGTCAACGCCTTACTGTCCGACTTGACCCACTGAAACTGCGCAGTGATGTTGCATCTCTGTGCATCTTCTACCGAATTTATCATGGGGAGTGCTCTGAGGAATTGTTCGGATTGATACCTGCTGCTGATTTTTACCACCGTACAACCCAACACATACTAAAGTTTCATCTGGACGAGTGGCGATCTTCCACCGTGCGTTTTTCAAGGCACTTTCTTCCACGCACAACCATTCTTTGGAATCAACTTCCAGCAGCAGTATTTCCGAACCGATACGACATCACAACCTTCAAGAAAAGAGTATATTCCTTTTTAAAAGGCCGGCAGCACACCTGCAATGCCGCTGGTGTTGTGGGTGATCATGGGCGGCGGTAGTCACTTACCATCAGGTGAGCCGCATGCTCGTTTGCCCCCTGTGACGTAAAAAAAAATTCATTTATATCTTATTAAGCTTATTCACTTATTTGCAAATAAAAAATGACAATATTTGTAACATAGAAATAGTATAAGGCATAGACGTTTTTTTTTATTTGTTTAAAATTCCACCGTTAGTGTATCTAATTACATTAAAATATCATATAAAATATATTCTTATCGTTTCGGATCCTGCCCCCTCCCTCACGTCCCAGTCTTGCCTGGGCCAGTCCAAAGTATTAGAACTCCCTACTAATAAGACCAATTTTTTTGGGAATTCCTTCTCATTTCGTGCTTCGAACTGTGGAACAGACTATCTGCTAACATTCAGAATAGTACATCATTATCCATCGTCCATCATTTCCTTCAAGAAAAGATTGAAATCTCACCTTTTAACTAATAATATATATAAAAAAAAAAAATCTATTCCTTCCAGGATACCATGGTCGTGAGCAATTTCACCAACATCCTACTTGACGAGGAGTTATATCCAGACCCTTACTCGTTCAGGCCAGAACGGTTCCTGGTGGACGGTGCTGTGAAGCTCCCCGACCACTACTTCCCATTCGGCATCTTCAAACACCGGTGTTTAGGCGACGTTTTAGCTAAATGCAACATCTTCGTGTTCACCACGACGATGCTGCAAAGATTCTCCTTTTTACCAGTTCCGGGGGAACCGTTGCCGTCTCTGAACCATGTAGATGGCGCCACACCATCGGCTGCGCCGTTCAAAGCTCTAGTTGTACCCAGGGCGTGATTTGTATATAACTTTTTGTAAATAAATATGTATATATATGCCTAAATATAGCTTTATCTAATAAATCTAATCCTATCTAAAAATCTTTTATTACATAAGTCATCGCTGTTTTTGGTGCCAGTTATGTGGTCCCGGCATAGAATAGACCATTCCTTCCTTCCCATGGGTATCGTAAAAGGCGACTAAGAGAGGGCGAGGGATGGGCAGCAGCGTCTCTCTTAAAACGTCTCTAAAACCTAACTGGGGTTGCCAATTCGCCTGCTAATCGTGACAACTGGTAATACCCCTAAGGGGGAGGACTTATGTTCAGCAGTGGACAGTTAAAGGCTGACATGATGATAATGATTTAAGTTACAAGTCCGACTCCATATGGAATACTCTTTCTTTTTCTCACTTTTAGACGAGCTCCTAGTCACCAGCTTAGGCCTCTTAATTTAATTCAGAGGCGTAATATGAGAATATTACAATATGACAATAATATGACAATCCTAAGTTAACGTTCACCATCAGACTGACCCTATGCTTGTTTACTTTTTTTTATACAACTTAGAATGGCAAACAAGCTGACGGCCCACCTGATGGAAAGTGGTAACCGTCGCCTATAGACATGAGCAGTACCATGGACATAACAGAGTGTACTGTTTCGCTCATGATACCCCCCATGCGTTGCCATACCTGAGGACTCAGGTGTTATTCCTCTGTACCCAGTAAATTCACGCCATATTCCACCATTCAAATCGAAACACAGTTATACAAATACAACTGCTTTAAAATTGAAACACGAATGGGACAGAGGTACCCAAGCAAACGACTAAGTTGTTTGCTACCATAGTAGTATAAAAAATCTAATACCTAACTTTTATGTAATATGAAATGGCAAATTAGCTACACACCTAATTGCAATCAATGAATATCATTAATATCCCATCAATAGTGTATAGACATGAATAAGGAATACACTGTAATGATTTGTTACCATACATGTGCTGCCATCTGTGTCGAAGGGTGATACAGCTCTGTACCCTGTAATTTCCCTGCCAAATAAAGCCTTACCATTTGAAGGGTGGGCCCTTCAAACCGAAATATAGAACTGTACGCACAGCTGCTCAGCGGTAAAACACTAGTGTTAAGTGTATGGTAACCCCGCCTGCGCTAACGGGATACGCTGGCGGAGCACCAGTGAAGGGTGATAGATGAGAATGAAAACAGGCCAGTTAGCCCATCATGATGAATTCATCAGGAATTAACCATGATAGTTGCCTGGGGGAACAGCAAGGAGGTCGACCTAGCTGGGTATATTGCTAGCAATGGGATTCTCAGTCTCCATTACTAACAATCCCTTTACCCTCGCGCAGATGGGGTTACCTACTATTCGGCTCTCATCCATTAATACCAATTAAATGAAATATCTTTTTTAATCACAGATAAACATTTTATTATCTATAATATTGTATACATTAGACATTCATTGACTGAAAAAAAAAACGACACTTTGCAATAAAAAAAAAATTTGAATCTCTCATACTAACACGGAGCTTTGACACAAAGTTAGTATAGGAGAACCAAAGCTAATTGTCGATTACCAAAAATATATAATATTTATAAAACACACTCTTGCCTAATTACGAAAAACAATACATATAAAAAAAATCGTAACTGGTCGCTGTCTGTACGTGGAAGATATATAAGGAAAACTATCATGGGGGGGGGGGGGGGGTTAAGAACGCAATAAAACTCAAAACAATGATTTTTAGAATTTTGACTCTGTCTGTACGTTTGTGCACGCTAATCTCGTAAACGGCTTAACCGTTTTGAATACGGTTTTCTCTAATGCGTTGCGGTTTACTCCACTTAACATTTATTGTTTGTTTCATTTCAATCGGTTCATAAATAAAAAAGTTATATCAATCTAAAGAGTCACATATAAAATGCTATAAAACAACCGATCAGTTGAATTGGCTGAAACTGTTTTCATTACATGTATTGATTTTCGAAAATTCCGTCCACTAGAGCGAAGCCAGGTCGGATCGCTAGTAAAAAATATAAATGCCCGTTTATTATATTTATATTATATAATAAATGCCTTAAATTTATACAAATTATTCCAACAGCAATAATAGTGAGGTACGTACACGTGAACACTTGGCAACGAACAATGAAATGACTTACTCTTAAAAATTACATCTAAATCACAAAAATATATTAACATTATTAAAAAAAAAAAAACATTAGTTAAGTATGAACTGAGCATATATTTGGTTACATTATCCAGTTCGAGTGCGGTCATACTCGTGAACGGATGACGCTTGCAACGACTAGTCTGTCCATTGCTATAGTTTTAATAATTTGTCATAATCAAATCGTAATATATTTCTTTTCGTACATTTTCGATGTACATTTTCGTGTCAAATACGTAATTATTACGAGATGCCCGATCAGAATTAGTTAATATATCTATATAATATAATATTTGGCATACGAGGTCTGTCCGGAAAGTTCGTATAAAAGTGTTCTGGAATGCGAGAAAGAGGAGTGGGGAGGCCAGGTAAGCGCAGGACCCCTTCCTTATGTCCCTAACAATGCTTCAGTTCTGGTCTGACCGCCGTGCGGTGCGAACTGGCTTGTCACGCCATCTGTGAAGTTACCTCTTAACGAAACCCCGTCGGCATGGAGCCCGCTTCCGTTGAAGAGCAGCGCGTCGTAATCAAGTTTCTCTCGAAACTCGGCAAGAATGGCCGTGAAATTTTTGCCGATCTCAGAACAGTTTATGGGGATGATGCTGTGAAGGAACCAATCGTCCACAAGTGGCTAAAAAGATTCAGAGAGGGCCGAGAAAGAGTTCGATGTTCGGGGGATTGTCCATCAAGAATTCGTCCCTCCAGGCCAGACAGTTGATGGAAAATTCTACGTCGATGTGCTCAGACGCCTCAAAGCTCGTGTGGTACGAGTTCGTCCAGAATTGGCGCGAGAGGGGCGTTGGATTCTTCACCACGACAATGCCCCTGCCCACACCTCTCTTGTTGTCCGTGAGTTTTTGAGTAAAAATTCCATTACGGTGACCGAACACCCCCCTATTCGCCGGATTTGGCCCCGTGTGACTTCTTCTTGTTCCCAAAAACCAAATTGGTACTTCGGGGGCGGCATTTGGGGGACATAAATGAGATAAAAAAAGCTACGACGGGGCAGCTGAGAAACCTACAACCAGAGGACTTTCAAGGAGCCTTCTCACAGTGGAAACGGCGTTGGCACAAGTGCATTATGTCACAGGGGGAGTACTTTGAAGGGGATAAAATTGATTTACCTGAATAATTGTAAAATAAAATTTTTAAAAAACTTTTATACGTACTTTCCGGACAAACCTCGTATTTTGTAAACAGTTTTAGTAAAAAAGAAGTTAAATTATTATTTATAATGTAAAAAAAAAATACTTAATATAAGAAATAAGAAATAGTCTAATATTATATTTCTCTCTGTCTTAATTTAATACTTTTGAAAAAGGCATACCGAGATGGATTAGCAAATAAAATGTCTTTTTCTCAAACACGCTTGGAAATGTGAGCATTTTTTTGACAATCTTCATCGAGATAAATCAAAATTGCCGTACTGGCCAGATACATGCGCGCAGCGGCCGGCAAAAGTTGTATGAAAATCCATATCTGTCGTGTTTTGCGGCCAGATAAATTACTATGTAAACTCATATCTGTCCTGTAATTTTAAAATGGAATGACCTTTTACTTCGAAACATGGCTACCAACCAAGGAGGTGACTAATAAAAGGTTTTATTTAAATTTCGAACTGGCTTGCAAACAGAAAGCTGTTTATTGAAAAAAAAAAAAAAACAAAGGAACATTATGGCGCGTGAAAAATTATAATTGTTCGTTATTCGTCATTCGAAGTCGAACTTAAAAAGTAAAATTGTGTATCTGATTTCCGCGCATTGTTTGAGAAAAGTACTATACAAGCCTTGCCACAACTAGGCATTGATGGACTTACGTATGTGTGCCTCGGCTACGCCACGGCCCAAATTTGCACGTTCGTCCATCAATGCCTCAGTTGCTGGCCGCTGCAGTAATGTACTATTTTTTTTATATATGAGCGCAAATAAAAAAAAAATGATATCATGATTAATTTTATATACCCATCTATAAGAACACATTGTATGTATTTCGTAGTGTATGACAATGGACTGTACAACCACATACTGTTGTTTTCCCGCATTTTTTGTAACGGTCGCCTGTTTCAAAAAGTCTATGGATTCATGTTTTTTTGCCATCGTCGCAAAACCGTAGTTATTTTCCAGTGCTCTATGGTTGGCGTATTATTATCACCTAGCGCGGCTTCGGGACAATACACAAAGTCATATAAGATAGGAAAGACGACTCATAAACATCCGCAAGCTAATAAAACACAAGAAATAGAAAAAAAAACAAACTAATTAAAAAAAAAAAAAACAGGATAAAGGACCACACAAGTAAACAAATAGAAAAAGGAAAGTATTTTTTTTATATGCAACTTAGAATGGCAAACAAGCTGACGGTCCACCTGATGGTAAGTGGTAACCGTCGCCTATAGACATGAGCAGTACCATGGACATAACAGAATATACTGTTTCGTCCATGATACCCTCCAATCCTTTGCTTTCCAAGGGAGACTTTGTACAAAAGTCGATTGTTTGGGTACCTATGTCCCATTCGTGTTTCAACCGTGAAGCAGTTGTGTTTGCATGGCTGTGTTTCGGTTTGAAGGGTGGTATATGGCGTGAATTTACAGGGTACAGAGGAATAACACCTGAGTCCACAGGGATGGCAAAGCATTGGCGAAACAGTATACTCTGTTATGTCCATAGTACTGCTCATGTATATAGGCGACGATTACCACTTTCCTTCAGGTGGGCTGTCAGCTTGTTTGCCATTCTAAGTTGTTAAAAAAAAAAAAACATACGAAATAGGCTGAAAAAACCGAAATCAAAGATTGCTAATATTAAAAACAGGGATAGTGTAAAATTATCTTTTAGTAAAGAAAAATAACCCGATGCTGTTACAACGATTTATTTAGAGTCAACCGATAATAATGTA